AACGGCTTCCGACGGCTCCCTCCGTGCGCACAACAAGTGGGCCTTCGTCGCATCACGACGTGTGAACGCCTTGTTCTTAGGGTCGCCCCCGAACCCTGCACGCTCAAGTTATCTTGCTGCTTGTAGATGTCCAGGCGTGTGACGCTTTTGACAGAGTTTCAAAATCAGTTGTGCACCCAGGACATTTTGCCTGACTGACCTGAGGAGACAGTGAAATTGGAAGAGGATTTCAGCCTTACCCGGGACTGTAGCTGGCCGATAGAAAAAAAGCTACATGGTGTTGCGTGTGTCAGAGGTATAATGGTTCTCACCCGCGGTGCGAGATTGGGCCTAAATACATTTCGCACGTCACCACACTGCTGCTGGATTGGCCATACCGAAGAGTATTCAAAGTCCGCCGTGCTTGAGGAGAAGGCACATACCCTTCCTTGTCGCCTTGTCGCCTGCTTCCCGGGCGGGGGCGTCCCAATGCACCCACCTACAATATGTATGTATCACCTTCAACCAGACGACACCGCAGGCATGAAACTGCGACACTACAGCAGTATATTCCTTGAACAAACACCTCCACCTCCTCTGCCCTACATTGACGCTGCTGTTATTTTCTGTTGTACTTGGTTTCCTCGCGAATCATGGACTGACCAGCTTACAACCCACCGTGAAACAAATGTAGTTCGTTTCAACAAACATATTCAAGAGAACGACAACCCTCTGCCTGCGATATCATGACAAATTAAATGAGCACCGGAGGGCTAGATGCAATGACTACGAGCGGGAATGCCGACACGTGTATCGGGGGCACGTTAAGCCCAAGCATACCCGATAGCCCCTCCATATGCACGCACAAGTGGTTGGAAGCCGAATGGCATCCCCCAAGAGGCAAACTCCGTGTTGGTGAGACGACGTTGTACGCTATTGTGCCCTGTAGTCAACGAGGCGTGTTCATGACTCGTCTTTTCGCCTCTCTATCATCAGGCGAAATAGTTGCAAAGCAGGTGGTTCATCACCGACCTAGATATGGCATACGCCACAAGACACAGCAACCAATCTCCTTGGACATCTCAGCTCCTCGTCGCCAAGAGACCTGCACCATTCCCCCGAAGGTCCTCGGCGCTCGATTCAAGGCGACAATTCAAGGCAGTATCGTCTACTACGATGCCTTGACGTGGGCATCAATCAATCAATCAATCAATCCTCGTCGCCACGCCGGTCGCGAAACCACACACAGCCGAACGGACGAAGCTCCGGTCATGCACGGCTCGATGGTTGGTAGAAAGCACGCGGAGGGTCATCGGCACGCTGCCGAACAGTGGTACCGGCAGCAGAAGGCACAACGAGGCAACCCTGCACGGCGCAGTTGTGGGAGCAGTAGCGGTGGTCGATGTTAGTGTGTAGTGGACGTACTTTTGTCACACCCGTTTGCGGCTAAGAGCCAAAACAACGTGTACTTATATCGGTCGTGAGAGTCGTGTCCTGCCATGGTGCGTAAACAGCAACCTATGCAGTACAGGGAGAACAAGCATATCGGGCAGTCGACGTCGTACGGTGCGTCAGTCTTGAACGAAAGAGGCGGCGTTTTCGTTCAACCCGTTGAGCGCGAGCGGTGATATGGCTGAGGTAAACGCGCAGTGAGCGTGCGTCAGGTACGAGATAACAATCGGTCTCGCATGCGAAAAAGCGAGCATAGAACATCGGCTCCCAAGGGACCTGCGCCACGACATCTGTGCTGTTGTTCGCTGATCTGCTCGTACAGCGAGGCCGAGCCGAAACAAGGCGAATGCCACGAAAAACATTCGTTTCAACAACCCGCCAACGAGAGGAATACCGCGTTCTGCCGAACCGTACAATGTGGCAGAGCGCAGGGACGTGCATTCCTGTATATTAGTGATCAGCATCGCTGGGAATGGCCGTGATGATTGCTCAATACCGATAGGAACAACACGTGCACGAGGATTCATCCGCGTTGATCGAAGAACTATTCTTTTTTGATCGCAGATGTAGTGTAATGGGTGGTGTAGCCCATACTTTCATATACGACTCGACGGAGGTTGATCAAAGTTGATAGCGTCCGTGTTCTGACGTGGAGTCCTGTGACATCCAGCACAAAAGTTATTTTGCACACTTTGAGGGAAGAGAGTACTGCGCTCCTCTCGCATCAAAAATCGCAAGCACAACAGGAGGGGTAGGTAGGGGGCCTCAGGGAGATGAACTCTTCGGTGTGACGATGGATTGGAGCTCCCTAGGAGAATGCTGCGAGCAAAGATAAAAAGTGACAAAAAAAAAATGCCATCACAACTTCTGATAAAAATTCGAGCTCACATTCTGCTGTTCGATTATCAACTTGCCAACCACAGGTATGTCGATTCAACCTCAACCAGATCCCCAAGTATCAAACTCACATATGTTTCGTTGCTGTCGGCGCTCATCCTCTGAAGCTATCTGTTGTCAGCACTACGTTCGCGAAGCAGCTCGTCGTGGAGTGCCAATATCTCTCTCAGCTCGTCCTGGGGCACCAGGTCATCACTCACAGCCGCCACTGATGCAAGCAACGCCCCATGAAGTTCCCAACCGTACACAGTTAAAACGAGGCAAGGCACACATGAACTTAAGTGGCACGAGGGTCTCAAGCGAAAATGCGAAGCAGAATAGTCAGCGGCTTAGTTGTGCAACTAAGCCAGAACAGGTGGGGTATCGCGACGTGAAAACACGAAAACGACACCAAGCGTTTGGGCACACAAGTGAAGGCCAACCTCGCCGGGATGACCAAGCACCCATCAAACAAACAACAACACACGACAACAGTTCGACTGGTCAAGGTGACCATGGTTCACCGAATAAGTCCAACTACGACATCCGGTCGAGACAAAACGCTCGAACACCATCAGAGACAAATGATTCCACGCGGCCCGGTTTGCGCGCCGATAATACGCCTGTGAGTGAGAAAATTGCGCAACGGAGAGAGGCGGGGCCTAGTATGACATGAACCTTGAAAATACCGAGTTTGAAATGAACCTTTGCCTTGCCGCAAAGTCACGACAACAGCGGAGCATATTTCCTCCGCACGTAAGAGATAGCGGAAAGCCTGTGGAACGACTTTTGCCCGAAGTTGCTCACGAGGCGAGGCCCAAATGAAAGCATGCGAATGCTGAGNGGGGCCTAGTATGATACTATGAAGTATGAACCTTGAAAATACCGATTTTGAAATGAACGTTTGCCTTGCCGGTAAGCCACGACATCAGCGGAGCATATTTCCTCCTCACGCAAGAGATAGCGGAAAGCCTGTGGAACGACTTTTACCCGAAGTTGCTCACGAGGCGAGGCCCAAATGAAAGCATGCGAACGCTGAGTGTGATTGTTCTCGATCACTGTAGACAAGGAACGCATATCTAGTGGTCGTGAACACAATTCTGACGTACATTTGCGGGTGATCCTGTCAACTGCCCTCTGAAAACGGCCCAGCTTGGCATCATGCTCGCGATGCAGCTCATTGTACTGGCTATGCTCGTCCTTAAGGAGTTCCACGGCCTCTGCCAGCTGCCCCAGGGTCACCACATCATTGTCCGCCGCCGGTGCTGATGTACAAATACCCCGTCGAGTAGGCACACACAACATAGCGGAGCAAGCGAGGGGGCGAAATCGATGTCTTTGGCATGAGCGTCTCAATTTCCAAACGTGTGACGGGGAGAGCGTGTTTGGTGAGATGGGGGGGCAAAGTAAACTCCAACCAGGCAAGTGGCTAGGACGCGTTTTCACCGGCGAAGCGTTCTACGTGAGAAAGCACCATGCAAAACAGAGCAACCAAACTACGGAATGCTCGGGCAGAAGGGTACTATCCAATATGAGGGGAGAGGGCTAGCGAAATAGGGCGACGCCTGTATCAAGCATTTGATGCGGTCAGGATTAGACGCCAGTTGCGCTGAGACGAACGAATTGGTAGATATTTTTCCTGTTCACTTGGTCGCGTCTGGACAAAAAACAAACGCTCCTTCGACATTACTGCTTTGCCGGGGCAGAACAACGCCAAGAGTCGCCACCTCGAGCCCCGTGCAGAAGAGTGGGAAATTACCTCTCTCTTGAGCCCTCTCGAGAAAGTCATCCACTGTCTCCGTGACAGCTTGCCGCTGCTTCAAAGCCAGCCCCCCCCCTGTCGATGGTCGTGGATTGCACCCGAACATGACATGACGTGCGGTAGCGTCACATGTGGGTCAAGTACGTGTTGAATGGTGGCGTAGGATGAGGCTTCATTTAATATTACAACAGAGTGCCAGCGAGACATTTCAATTTTCTCACCGGTAACGAAAAATCAGATGGAAACGAACAGGCGTGCAGCTATGGGAACGTGCGTACAGCCATGGGAACACGCGTACAGCCAGGAGAATAGTCTGCTGACACCGCCGCCCCCCGGGCTGGCTTTGACAGGCAAACGGCGAAGGCACACAGCATGCACAGACGACAGTGCTACTGAATCATGGCAAAATTCCTCGTGCACTACAAGAGCGAGATGTGAGCGAACAGAATGTCAGCGCATGTTCCCGCGGTTCTATCGCCCCAATTTGACAACAGCACTCTCCAACTCCAAACTTGCTCCAGACGATCCACAATGGCACAAGGCACCATTGTCACGTTTCTCCACACAACGATTAATTTACCCGCCAAGCGGTTAGGATCGATGAGGACTCAGTTCTCGTAANACTGAATCATGGCAAAATTCCTCGTGCACTACAAGAGCGAGATGTGAGCGAACAGAATGTCAGCGCATGTTCCCGCGGTTCTATCGCCCCAATTTGACAACAGCACTCTCCAACTCCAAACTTGCTCCAGACGATCCACAATGGCACAAGGCACCATTGTCACGTTTCTCCACACAGCGGTTAATTTACCCGCCAAGCGGTTAGGATCGATGAGGACTCTGTTCTCGAAAACTACCATCCAGAGAATTTCAGCAGAGGGTGCCACCCGTACACCTCGATTTGTCGGTATTCAACGTGAGTTTCGCGGCCGTGATCATGTTCCCAGTGAAACAGTATCTGAACATCGCCGATGACGTTGTCGTTGGCAACTATGGACGCTCGGGTGGTCGAAATATCCCTGTTGATACATCACCATTGACGTGTGGGTGATACGGGACTGTGGCCGAGAGTAAGCCGGCCTTGCTTAATATGCAAGAAGATTCCCCACCCAACGGGAAAATGTCACAACGTCGCTCATTTTGCATCCAGCTGGCCATCACACTTACCGCTGGGCACCAAGCTATCCGAGTCCGGCCCAATTTTCATCACCTTTTTGTTCAGGATTTTCACCTGGAAACCAAACGCGGCGGCATGCAGCATGCTGGCGTCAAACGTAGACATCGGCAACTGAACATCGCATGGTTCTCACGAGCTACGTTCCACGACGGTGGAACTGCTGAACGACCGTGTGCATGCTTGATGGTGAGCTTCTCGATCGGCAAAAAATGATAAAGAGAGGTTTCTGAACCTACGGTATACTGCTGTATAGCACATTCACCGTACCGCAGACTCCAGCTTGGCGTTTTTTGCATTTGCCTCCTCCAAACCGTCTTTAAGCCTGGCGTTCTCTTCTTTCGCAGCTTCCAGGCCGGCTTTAAGCTCTTCGTGCGTTGCTTCCGTGCGAATGCGCATGGAAGCGATGCGCTCCATCAACGCTGCCACGTCAATATCACTCTTGGCAGCACCGTCAGGAACGGCTGGACGAGTAGCTGCAGCATGCGACTGCCGTGAAGCTGGTTGGGCGGAGCTAGCGTCGTGATTGGCACGCTCCTGCGTGCCGTGAGATGTCAAACCAACTTTTCGCCCGGCCTCTGGGAGTACAATCCCGACAAGAACTTTCACCTGGGGATGCATCATGTTTCATCAACGCGTTTATTTCCATTAGATATTGCTTCCGTGAAAAAATACCGCGAGTGTGTGACGCTGTATGAGCGAGTCCGAGTGTCTGCTTGATACACCGACAGTACCCTTAGCTAGTCGCCGAACTCCTTGTCCCTTGGGCGAACAAATCTATATAGGTTCACTTGGGAATCTCTCCGAAGCGACGCTCTCCGAAGCAATGCACAACGGTGGGAGTTGCTTGATATATCGCGTATGACAGCAGTGTAAGTGAACGGCTCCAACCACAAGAGGGGAATCAACCAACGTTTTACTTGCTTTTTTCTGGAACTGCGCTGGTTTTCGTGTAACCCGGCCACATAGGTTGACCCGGCAAAGGCGGCGAAGGTCGCCTGAGTACACAACGCATACGGAATCTACACGAAACACCTAGTAGGAACTCGAGACGGTCGGCGAAAAAACAGACACGTGGGGGCGGCCTGTACCAAAAACGTTCCTAAACTCACGGCACAAAGGAAATCACGGATACACGCGGTGTTTGGATTCCTCGCATGTATAGCGCCAAGCACGCGCCTAGATAAGTTACCCGTTCTATTTCATGTCTTGCTACCGTTCTTCCCGGCTGTAGAATAGCGTCCAACCAAATCTGTACTTTACCTTCTCGTCAGCAGTGTTTGTGCCGCGGAGGCAATCCCGCCCAACTGCCTTTAGAATAATCTGGAGATGCCTTTTCCCAAGCTTCCTCCCAGCCTGAAAGGACGGCGGCGAAAAGAAAGAGCGGTGGGGATCTCGTAGCTGGCGAAAATACGGCGTGCAAGATGGCTGCTGTCCATGTCATCATGTTCGTCAAGCAGGACTGGAAACACAAATGGTTCGACGGCAATAGAGCCCTCAGAGGTCTTCGTATACCTGTACGGCAGGAGTCGTTTTCCTTGTGTCGAGGTTGTTCGGCTCGTAGTCCGCCACTTCTTCGACAAACCAGTCCATGACGGCTTCCTCGGTCGCAGAATCTGGCGAGGCGCCAATATCTTGGCTCCATCCGCCCCCGCCTGTAGCAAACAACCCACGGTACCCCGCCCGAGCACAAGATCTCAACGTTGTATTGGAACACTCATCCCACTTAAAAATTGTTGCAGGTGCCTGAGGCCGTGGCAATACCCTCGTAATAGGGCTCACGGTGGGTTCGACGGGTGTCGCGACAAGACCCCAAGAGTACCCTCACTATTATTTTGCCATGTAAACGCCGAACATATGTATCAATGGACGGCCAGATACCGAATGGGGGCTGGGTGCACCGAACATTAAGGTGGTGGAATTACAGCGCTCTGGATCGTCTACTATCTTCAACAGGGCAACGTCGAGCGGATGGTTTCGTAAACCACGTACCCACCGCACAAAGTTGAGCCAAACACCATGGCGCTGAGGGTAAATGTATTTCTACAAATACCGTTGGGGTTCCACTAACACTATTGCCCACAAACAAACTGGTGCGTACGTACACAATGTTGAAGGATGGCGGGCTCAGCCATCCAACAAACCCGACTCAGCAAAGCGGCATTGGCTGCCAAGGGACA